TTCACTTAATTTCCCACAATCTAAAAAATTTTAGTCATAAAATAAACTATTACCAGTTAATTAAAAATGTTTATTGTTAACTCCCCCAACTAAATTTTCACTCCCACCAAATATTTAATTTGGTATTCAAAATTTTCATTTTCCCAACATTTTTCACTTGCCCACAAGGCTTTTTCAGTTCACGGCTTAGTCATATTCCAAAACCCTAAACTCAAATTCGTATCTTCCTCTCTTCTAAAGTGTGCCACCTTCCTCATCCTCACTCTCCGTCTCTCTCTTCGAGCACATTCAGAGAGAAGAAAACCTCAAATTTTAAATCTACATCATCATCGATATCATGGCCCATTTCGTGGCCCCAATCGCATGTCCATTATCACTCTCAACTAAGTATTCCCCCTACCTTCTAAAGATTTTTGCAGATTTCATGTTCAATTTTTGTTTTTACTTCCATGGATATTTTGAAGGGGGAATAATTTACTGGAAAACCCGATGATATATTCATAAATTTGCTGGCTAATTTGGCTTGTGGAGGATATCCTGCTACTTTCTTCTACTTCTACATGAAACCTATTGAATAGGAAAAAATCTTAATTATCTTCCTGCGGATGGGTCTAGAAATGTGAGAAGATCTTAAAGTGTTCTATTTCTTATGTGTCAAAACTTGCATCTATAGGTAAAAATCTTCTCTAACCTTCTTCTTTTTATTGACCAAACAATGGTATGCATATGCTGTGGCCTCTGCTTTTCATGGAGTGCAGCATATTCTTTGCAAGGACTTTATGTTGTAGGTTCTATATCCGAACTGTTATGGATAATGTAAAGCCAATGTTTAATAATTTGCCATGTCAAATTTTAGCCCTCATCGGACATTGAAACTAGAAAGAAGTTTATCCTTATGGGAGTGACTACAACATGAAGGTAAACTTGTGTTTCTATTTGCGTACAGCATTATAATTGAGAAGTTCATATTATGCTATTATTGTGAACACCCATTTTCTTTTTGTAAATTATTGAGAACAACTTACTTCCACTTTACCCTATAACCTATACTAGTTTTGTAGAGAACTTATGAAGCTGTTGATGTTCAGGATGAACTAAAATATGGAAAATTTGGAGATTGGCGATTCAATAAGAGATCAAGCAAATATTCCCTCCCCTCTAAGAATTATGAACATTTATCTATTCATAATAGGAGGCTTGGCAAGAAGTACAGTGGCATGAGGCTTAATCAAAGAATGAAAAGTCTCTACTTTTTTTAATAGAAAATACATTTAGATATATATTATTCAAAATATATGTCATTTTTCCTTCTTTAAAAGATATAATGTACTTGTGATAATTTTCCCACTAAAGAAGTTAGTGTTGCATATTGTTATGTTAGAAATACTGATACTTTTCTATTCTTTCTTACTTTGAGTTTGTCGTGAACTGTACACCCTTATAATCCATTGAAGACTATTGATTAGACCTGGAGTCTTAGGTTAATAGTGTATTTCACCATCATATATGTATTATCATATTTTACATCGTACTGCATTAGAGTTTTTTATTCAACAATTGCAAGTTATGATATCATTTAAGGTTGAATTATTTGGATCTTTGTCCATTTATTTAAAGGGCACTAATATCCAGTCAAATTAATGCATTGCCATGTACATTGATGTCAAATTTTGTGATCTACAACATTTATTGCTTATAGGTTCTTAAGTTTTTTGCTCCAACTTTATTTGGTTGTAGGTATCCACCTTTCTTGGATTTATGTCCATCTGAAATGATATATGTTCTTGATTTTTATGCTGTCCAATCCATTTTATGGCATTTGAATGGTGAAGAGTAGTAAGTTGCGTTGAAGTAAAAATTATGATGACATAGAAATTTATGTTTTTCTTCATGTAATGTTTAATTATTCTATTGCAAGTGTGTAGAGGGACTGCCGTGATGCTTGTCTTCCCTATTGAGGGACTATTGTGATCAATTTTGTGGACTTAATCTCCTGTATTCCTTATGTGCAGGTTTTAGTTGTATTACCCCTCACTTTATAGATTATGAAAAAAAAAATATTGACCTAGAATGCTTAGATATGCTAGAAAGTTCTATTAACGTGAAACAGTATCAAGTTCAAATTTTATGTATTACCAAGTTTACGTTCTAGATTTCACTTTAACAAATTTGACCTTGCATGCAGAATTAATCTAACTAAAGAAACAAGTCACTTTAATTAGTTGTCTAGGTAATTAATCATACAAGTTAATTAACATATGTTGGAATGCCGCAGTTTGTATATTATGCAAAGCAGTAAATAACAAATAATATGATGACGGAGAAATCTCAACGTGGGTAAAACTCCGGGATTAAGCCAGTTACTTCCACTATACCAATTCAGCAAGTACAAATTATACTAAACTTCGTATCCAATCAGACCCGTTGTTCCAGTCTCACGATCTACTATTATAAATACTTCTAGCCTCTTGTTAGACTTCTTGATCTACCTCTTGCAGCCCAATCTGCTGTCCACTACAACCTCCTGGTCCTTAGCTGATTGTATCACCAAGTGGAACACCAAGAACCATCCGTTCCTGTGCTTGTAACTGCGTCTCAATCCACCCCTCTCAATCCTCTAATGAGAGAGTCCCTTCCTCAATAGATTAAGGAAGTAAGGTGTTTTGGGTTATGTAGATTCAATGTTTTTACCCAAAACAATAGTTGTCGGATCACAAGATTGATGTAGATGAAGTCTCCAATTAATTGCACCTTGGATCTCTTCAAAGATGTTATGAATATCTTTTGCAATGAAAGAATAATGTAGCAACCTCTTCAATTTCGTCCTAGGGCTTGAGTATTTATATTTGAAGGTGTCTAGGTGGTATGGGCCTAGTAAAACACTTCAAAAATGCGAAATAGGATTTTTGTTGCATAGGAGTGTCGCTCGAGAGAGAACCAGCGAGAAGCGAGTGAGAGTGAGCAATCATCCGTATTTTCATCATAACTTTCTCTTTCGATATCTGATTGTGGTGATTAAAGTTGCATTAGAAAGATAACTCAAAGGGCTACGATTCTTCTAGAAATAGAAGTTTCCAAATTCTAACGTTTTCTATGTGAAAAATGCATTTCAAATTATAACTGAAAATTCGGAACATAATTTGTGCGGCTCTTTAGTATCCTTTAGACTTCCAATTGCATTCCGATGATCTTGTGTGATCTTCTTGGACATCTTGGACTCCTTCAATGACTCGAAAACTAATTTACCTCATCTATACAAATTGCACCCTAAGTCTCTGAGTTTTACACCAATGTTCAATTAAGTCCCTGACTTTTATAATTATATAATTTAGCTCATTTTGTTCACAGAATTGCCAATTACACTTTTAGACCTAACAAACTCCCCCTTTGACATTCTGTGATAAAATCATACAAATGAAGTCATAACTATACAAAATAAGTCAGGACTTAACAATCAAAACTATACTACCCAGTAAGTCCAATAACTGAGTCTTACATTCCTTCTTGTAGCTGTTTCCTGAAATCCACAAACTCATATACCTTGTGTAAAAGCAGTGATACAGAAAATATAACAATTGAAACACTTAATCACCATTCAACATGCTAGTTTGAGACGTGATATTGATGTCAATCAAAACACCAACAGAAACACCAACACCACTAAACATCAAAATTCAAACAGATGGATGTGATATGAAATGCAATACAATGCTCCCCTTAATGCAAACTCTCATGTTTTTATGCAGCAGGCAAATGTATTTATATCTCTCCCCAACAACCCCTAAACATAGCAATGCAATGCAAGTACTGTCAATAAATGAAATCATGTGCACATTGCAAATGCACTAGCTCTCCTATGTGAATGCTCAATCATTATTTTTTCTCCCCCTCAGTTACACATTTCTCTTCCCCTTTTTGTCACAAATGTTGAAGGGACATACATTAAGGCCAAGTCGAGTAATAACACATAATAATCAAAAATGCAATTGATAGCATGTAAAAGCAAAATTAACAAGTTGTATAACTCCCCACAAATGTGTAAAGTGTCACTGATCCAATACAAGCAGGACTCCAAACCTTAATTTTGTGAGAAGGGACATGCCAATCACTACTAATAAGTATGTTCTCCTACTAATGAGAGTCAAACCATGTAACGCATAGTAAGACCTATACTTATTATTTTTACTTATCTCCCCCTTACTATAAGCTTATTTGTTTTTCAATTTTTCAAAGTATTTCAGCTCATGATATTTTTCATATTTTTTTCATGTCTCCAGCTCATTAATTTTTCACCTTAAGTGCGGGTTCTTCTCCATTAGACGACTAAGATGACACCTGTAGCGAGCTTTAGGCCGATTAACCTAAGTCAGTTGACTATAGGCACCAGGTTTTAAGAGATCTCGCAAGCTTAATTGCTCGAGTCAAATAGGCCCCGAAGAAGAACATTAAGATATGAGAATTTAAATTTGGGGGAAATTTTTTGTTTAAGGTCTACGAAAATTGGTCAATTCATGTTCAAAAGCACCTCCATCAACATGTGACAGCCATCTCAAATCTCACACACGAGGTAGCGTCCACTAACAAATTCATAGTGTGTGCAGTACAGATGGTACATGAAGACACTTATACATATTAATCCAACTAGACCTAATCAAGCAATGAAAATTATTCTACAGCTTATCAATTTTAGCTCCTACATGATACAACGTGCAAGCTCTAAATCATGTGTCATGCTGTAGAAATTTGCATAACCAATTATTTTTGTCTTTTTCTAATTTTCAATGTTTTTGTGTTTTTCGATTTTCTTAAAATGAATGCTCCACACACAAAAGAAAATAAAATCAAGCACACAAAGACAAAAATAAACATGCATGCACCAAAACTCGTAGGTGAAAATGCATATGCATGAAAATCAACAAAACAAAAACAAACAATATATATGTGATGCATGCAACAACTATATATCAATTAAGAGCCAAGCATGCATCAAAAATACCTAATCAAGTAGGTATATAAGCGCTCTTTCCTTTAAGCGCAACACGATCTCTAACCAAATTTGAGAGATCGCTTTTCTTCACCCAAACCTGTCTAGAGCGAGAATTGTTTCCAGACAGTTGTGTCACCAATTGAGGCAAATGATTCACTTGATCAGTAAGGAATCCAATCTGATCAACAGACACCTGATTTTTGTTCTTTTTTAAGCTCAAGACTTTCCTATTGTTCAGGTAGTGATCATACTTAGGGCAGATGTGACCTAATTCTCCATAGTGAAAACATGTAGGGATAAACCTAGGACCTGTGATATGCTTACGCTGATTTCTATTCCTAGGCCGACGAGTCCTAGGATGTCTGGTAGACCTACGTCCTGAAGTTCCCACAACATTTGGTATAGGGTTAGTCACAATGTTTGGCTGGTCAGTAGCACGAACAAAGGTGGTCTGTGATGTACTAGCAACATTCAGATCAAAACCTAGACCTCCCTTATCACCAGCCGGCTTGCCCATTCCTAGAATATTATCTAGCCTTTCAGAACTGCTAGAAAAGGCAAGTAACTGAGACCTAGACAACTCTAGCTCACTCTTAAGGTGTTTAACCTGAATAGCTAAGGTCTCATTCACAATGGTCAGCTTACTTACTCTCCTAAAGGACATCTCATTCTTACTAGTGAGATCACTAACACGGGCCTCTAATTGTTCCTTCTCTAGCTTAAGCTCTTTCACTTTTTTGCTCATTGCCTGGTTAGTGGCTAAGATCTTAAGGCTTTCCTCATACATCATATCATAGGCTGCTTCTAGATCTTCCACACTTCCACTTTCATCATTAGAATCTTCACTACTATCTAAGTCCTCTGTCCTTTCACTTCTCTGATCGGATCCACTTTTACCCCTAGCAATGAAGACCACATATTTTCCACTCTCTTCACGGGTGGATTTCTCACTCTGATTTTTCGAGCTCGACCCATCATCAGTGAGAGTAATATTCACAGCCTTCTCTTCAAATTTCTTAGCACTAGGGCACTCATTCCTCACGTGACCGAAACCCTGATAGTTATGGCATCTCACGAATTTAGATTTTTTCCTAGATTCATTCGGGCCACCTTTTTGTCTCTCTTGAGACTTCTTCTTTTTCCTAAATATTTTTCGAAATTTCTTAGTTAGGTAGGCCATCTCTTTAATAGCTGTGACTTTCGGCTTGAAACGCTTGGGTAAGGATCTAAGAATTTTTCTAACTATCTTGGGCTCAGGAATTTTCTCACCTAGGTTCAAGGAGGAATTCACTATATCATTTAAGCTCGCATAAAAGACATCAAATGTATCATCATCTCTCATCCTAATTTCCTTGAACCTATTGGTCAGCATCTGTAACTTAGAATTTTTAACGGCCTGGGTTCCCTCATGTGTGGTTTGTAAAATGTCCCAAAAATCCTTAGCTACCTCACACATAGATACTCTCTTAAATTCCTCAGAGGCACAGCCATAAACAATGCATGTATGGCCTTGTTATTAAAGTTACATCTATCCAACTGTGCTCTAGACCAGTTTTCTACGAGGGTAGGAGTGAATACACCATCTACTGTGGTATTAGGGACAGACCAACCATTCACTATGCTCTGCCAGACACGCTCATCCATGGATTTAAAAAATGCCTTCATTCTAACCTTCTAGTATGCATAGTTACTATCATTAAAGTGGGGCGACACATTCAACGAGGTACTCATCTAGACTATTTAAGGTCAGGACACGATTTTAGGCTTTGATACCACTTGAAAAAAATAAAAATTGACCTAGAACGCTTAGATATGCTAGAAAGTTCTACTAACGTGATATAATATCAAGTTCAAAATTTATGCATTATCAAGTTTACGTTCTAGATTTAACTTTAACCAATTTGATCTTACGTGCGTAATTAATCTAACTAAAGCAATAAGTCACTTTAATTAGTTGTCTAGGTGATTAATCATACAACTTAATTAACCTATATTGGAATGCCGCAGTTTGTATATTATGCAAAGCAGTAAATAACAAACAATATGATGACGAAGAAATCCCAACGTGGGTAAAACTCTGGGACCAAGCTAGTTACCTCCACTATACCAATTTAGCAAGTACAAGTTATACCAAACGTCGTACCCAATCAGACCCGTTGTTCTAGTCTCACGATCTACTGCTGTAGATACTTCTAACCTCTTGGTAGATTTCCTGATCTACCTCTTGCAGCCCAATCTGTTGTCCACTACAACCTCCTAGTCCTTATCTCTTCAAAGATGTTATGAATATCTTTTGCAAAGAAAGAATAATGTAGCAATCTCTTCAATTTCATCCTAGAGCTTGAGTATTTATATTTGAAGGTGTCTAGGTTGTATGGGCTGAGTAAAACACTTCAAAAATGCGAAATAGGGTTTTTGCTGCATAAGAGTGTCGCTCGAGTGAGAGCCAGGGAGAAGCGAGCGACAGTGAGAAGTTATGAGTAGTTTCATCATAACTTTCTCTTCTAATGTCCGATTGAGGTGATTAAAGTTGAATTAGAAAGATAACTCAAAGGACTACAATTATTATAGAAATGCATTTCAATTTATGACTTAAAATTCGGAACATAATTTGTGCAGCTCTTTGATATCCTTTAGACTTCCAATTGTATTCCGATGATCTTGTGTGATCTTCTTGGACATCTTGGACTCCTTCAACGATTCGAACACTAATTTACCTCATCTATACAAATTACACCATAAGTCTCTGACTTTTACACCAATGTTCAATTAAGTCCCTGCCTTTTACAATTATACAATTTAGCTCGTTTTGTTCACAGAATCGCCAATTACACTTTTAGGCCTAACAGATTACATAGCTTATAGATATGTAGAATTTCTGGTGCATATATTACTTTTATTTATATTAATTTCATCATGTGTTAGTTAACCAAGCCAATTTTTTTTTTTAATTTAAGTACATTATGTAGCTACTCAAATGAGGATTTGTGCTTTGATGTTTTTCTTAGTAAAAAATGAGTAGTTTTCTTATGATCTTGATAACATTTTTAAATTTGACTCAGTTTCAGTTGTTTGATTTTAAAAAATCTTGTGAACTTGTTTCCATAAACGTAGAAGAAATTCAAAATTCTTGTTTATTTAAGTTTATTGTGTTTTGTGTGACTTTCATGCTAATAAGCATAATTTTTTTTATTTTAAATTCAAATTAGCGACAGAATTAACAACGGAAGTTCGTTACTAATTATCGGCAAAATTTTAATTTGTAGATAATTTGTGACAGAAATTTGTTGTTGCTAATTAGCTACAGAAGTCGTCGGTGAAACATCAACAGAATTTTAAAAATTGTATAAGGTAATCCTAAGGTCGTAGTATACAACATTCTAGATTCTCGAGATATCGTAAGATTCGTGATCTTAGATGAAGGAAATGTTCAAATGGGTCAAGTTTAGGTGTTCTAATAGAATAATCAATGCAACATGAAGGTATGTTAACAAAAATCCAAATTCTCACTCAATGTAGTCTCAACTAGACGACAATTAGAGCACAAAATGAATTGCCTACTTGCCATTAAATTCAACACTTCAAATATGGAAAATAATTTTAAATTTCTAGCAGAAGCCATACTACCCATTCACGGTAATATCAATCCTAATGCACCCCTCATGATAATGTGCTAATGCTAAAATTTAAATAGATAAGCCAATTTATCAGAGCGGACTGAGTCCATAAATAACGACACATGCGAATTTATATTTTATGATCACTATTATTCATCCTAAAGTAGCAATGCAATCAGGCAAATTTTGGATCCCAAGCGACTAAGGGCAAGATTGTCTAAATTCAACAGCATAACCTAAAATAGAAAACTAATAACACCAAAATATTAGAAAAATAATAAGGGTCAAACTTCCTTAAGAAAGTTTCCTCAGACGACATCGAAATCTCCACTTGTTGCTACCGAAATCTCCACGCATCGTCGGTGGGTCTACACCACCTCCAAGCCTTGCAAGGTGGTCCTTGCTGATTCACACAGGATTCCACGTGTCCCATTCTACTCGGGTCAGAGCGTAAGCTATTGATGCTTTCGACTATCTAATCATTCCATTGAATTTGTGGGCTATCTTTCAAGTGTGCGACTCAATGCTTTAGTGGTATGGAGGCAAATTCTAAAAAATTCATTTCTAATCAATAATGCTATTAAAAAGTTCGATACTCTTGTTTCAATTATTCCTCTGATTGGATTATTGGCTAAAGTGGAATTTTGTAATGTATTAGGGTATCCCATTTGTTCCGTCATCTGGCTTATGTTCTTCATGTCTATGAAATTACATCGATACTTCCACATATTATGGGTAACGTAGGATTGGCTCAATTGTCTTTATGTTGATCCTTACGGGCCTCTTGAATTGTCTCTTTAACTATTTCTTTAATTTGTTTTTAAGAATCTAGTCTCCGTTTCTCCAGTGGACCTCTGAATTGCTAGAAAATCGAGTTTGCAAATCTGGTTTTTAACAAAAATTAAGGGCAGATTTTTTATTGGGCTTCTGCTCCAATTCTGCTGATTTTAGATGTTTTTTCGTTGAAAATCTATACTAACCACAATCTGGTACTAAATGTTGCAGAAATGATCTTGAATTAGTGGATTCGAAGCTCAGTTTGCACTATCTTATCTCCAATCAAACACAATCAATCAAAAAATTCAATCCAACACTACTTCGGTTGCTCTCCTTTTGCACCCACTTAGACAAGGTTATGGTGATGAGTTTGCAAGTCACACAGAGTAGAAAAACATTGGAATAATAAGATTATAATCAAGGACAAAGAGAAATGATAACAAAGTAGACAGCCACAGTTTTTCCCTGTAGAAGTCACAGTTTTCCACAGCTAAAGGGATGGAACATATATAGAATTAGGTTGTAACTAAAGTGGGCTAGATCACACTAAATTGGCCAACAATATAGGAGCTATCCAAGAAGTAGAATTTGGGCTAAGGCAACATTAATTAATTAAGTTGCTACTAATGGCCCGCTTGCATTTGGATTGAACCTTTTAATTGATTATGTTGATAGTTATTTAACTTATCAATCGAAACCTATGAAATATAATCCAAATTATTTAACATTGTTGTTCAGGATTTATAGGTTATCAAAGCCCAACACATGGTATGATCTAGCAATGGAATGTTAACAATCCACTGTAATTTCATTATAGAGGATTGGTTTAGTCTCACGTGACAAGTTAGTCGTTAGGCAGAATAACAGAAACAATGAGTAGCACTTCAAATACTCGTTGCATCAGTTAAATACCAGAAATTTGATCATCAAATATTTGTTAATGCTATGAATACCGAATAAATGGGATAATTGAGGAACGCCAAGATTTTTTTTAAAACAATCAAGTTATAATGAACCATAATTCTAGCTTTTAATGGAAAAATAGAAGCCGTAATTTAATATTTTTAAACAAAGACAAGCTTTAGGATACTACAAATCTCCTCATAATCTAAGAAAAGAAAAAAAAGTAAATAAAAATCATTTTCCTCCCGAATAATAAAAGTTGACAGCTTAATCAGTAGAATTTCACAAAATCGATGGGCTCAAGGGCGCAAGGTCTTTTTCAACACTATCTCTCAAGTAGGTTAAAAAATAATTTCCATGCCCGAGTTGCTAACTATGGACTGAAATTATCGGTTTGAGAGTCACTTTGTCTAAACATCAGCCAATTGTTTTTCGGATGGAATGCAAATTTAGTCCTCCTTCAAGTTTTTTGCTTAATGAAATGCACGTTAGCCTCTCCTCTTTTTGTTGTATGATGTTGCAAAGGATTGTCGCTATGCGGATTGCAGCTTTATTATCACAATAAAAATTTCATAATGTCGTCACTTGTCATTTGCAGATCTTATAGAAAGGATTTTAACCGCATGAAGTTCACAACGTGTAACATAGACCAGAACTCAACTTCTGCCATAGATTTGGCCACAATCGATTGTTTTTGCTTCTCCATATCAATAGGCTATTTCCCGCAAATCTAAAACAACATGAAGTTGACATTCTGTCTAGCTTTGGTCGTGCCCCAATTAGCATCCATAAAGGCCTCAGTTTTTATATTGTGGTTCCTTTCCAGGAAGATTTCCTTTTAAGTACCATAGAATTCCCATGATCGTAGGCAAGTGGTATACATTGGGATTATGTATGAGCTAGCTAAGAATTACCATAGGAAAAGCAATATTATATCAAATGTGAGACAAATAGATTAATATTCCCATTACTCTCTATTATTTTTTGTCTATTCATTGGTGTACTGGAATCTAAATGATGATTATAAGTTTCAATTTGTAAGCTTCTTGGTTTGCATCCATGCATTCCTGCTTTTTATAATAAATTCAGGACACATTTATGGTGAGAGATAAAGTCCCTTGTTTTGATCTTGCCACCTCAATTCCCAGAAAGTAAGTTTCAATATTTTATAGAGAATAAAGGAGCAAATATTATTTGATTGCACCTAAATCTCAATTGAAGTTTATAAATAGGGGCTTGGATGGGCGGATAGAGTTGGAAAAGGAGGGGGGGGGGGGGGGGGGGGGGGGGTTTTGGGGGGGGGGGGGGGGGGGGGGGTGGGGGGGGGGGGGGGGGGGTGGGGGGTTGGGGGGGGGGG